GGATAAATGTTTTCCAAAAACAATCGCATTTCCCCAAATTGACAAAACACTCCAAATGACGCGAGGCCATAATCGGGTGCGCAACAGGATTTTTTTATTTTTGGCACATACATAGCAGTTCAAACAGAATTTTATTATTTTCGTTTTACATTTTTGATATTTAAATTTTCGATAACGACAATAAATGACATTTTTCGATGCCTAAAGCGTGGACCGGCCAGAAAGATACAGTACCCCGTAAAGTATTGCGTCCTGGCCTCGTCGTTGCATGACCTAACTTCGCAGCTTCACTTTATTCCCCCCCCCCCCTCCCCCCGCTATCCCATGAGTACCACAAAAACAGTATTTTCGTTATAACTCTAGAACGACTGTAGCTATGGGGGCTATAAGTTGCGTTTTTTTAATATCAAACTAGCACAGTGAGGAATAGAATGGAGCTGAACATGTTGATAAAGCACCGTGTAATCTTTTTAATCAGCTGTTTGTCATTTCTGAATGTTTTTTTTATTATTTATACACTAGCACGTGGTAAGGTCTTTGCCGCTAAAACTTTGGCTTATCTGTCGAAAATACCCATCGTTTTCTCCCACTTGGACCGATACAATACACCGAGATAGCCTAAAATTTATGTTATTATGTATCGATTTTATAAATAAATAAAGTAGTGTATTTGAATGCAACTTTTGTCAGTATGTTCCAATCGTATCGCGATAGAGGATGAGTTTTAGGTGTGTTTGATATGTCATTAGATGCGTAATCATCTCGAGATGGCCGCACACATGTCAAATTGCCGAAAAAGTGCTACTTTCGATATCAAAATTATTTTTTTTTTTTGTAAAAATTACGGTCCCCTCTTTGTTAGGGAACAATTAGCATGCGCCGGAAGTAAAGAAAGCTTATATAAAGTGACCGAAGGCGTATTGTTAATTTTTGGCATTGCGGCTCACAAGAATCATGCAGATTGAGAAGTCTCATTGGGCAACCCGTATTTAACGCCCTTTCGCGCCCCTTCACGCCCTCCTGTAAATAACGCCCCCTGTATTTCGCGCCCCCTGTATTTAACGCTCTCCTGTAAATAACGCCCTGCAAAACGAGCTTTTTCCTGTAAATAACGCCCTTTTCGTGGTCATATGGAGGGCGTTAAATACAGAAGGGCGTTAAATACAGGGGGCGTTATTTACAGGGGGCGCGAAATACAGGAGGGCGCGAAAGGGCGTGAAGGGGCGTTAAATACGGGTTGCCGTCTCATTGGATAAAACCGGGCTATAGTTGTTATCTGGCATCCGGGTGCGGGTACCCGTTCGCAAGCGGGTACCCGGACACGGATGCCAGAAAACAACTCTAGACCGGGCCAAGGGTGAAAAGTCGCGAAGCTGCTTTTCAACCCTGGTATCCTACTATCCAACTATATATAAAAAAATAGTGTCTGTGTGTCTGTGTGTGTGCATTTGAATGCAACTTCCGTCTGGGTGTACCAGCAAAAGCGGCTCTCGGGAGGTGGTTTGAGGTATGTATCATACCTCTTTCGGTGCGTAATGTACTTGCGATGACTGCACACATGCAAAATTGCGGAGAAAGTGGTATTTTCTATATTAAAAATAGGTTTTTGTAAAAAATCTCGGTCGCCCTCTTTGTTAGGGGTCAATTAGCATGCGCCGGAAGTGAGGAAAGCCTATATGAAGGGACCGAAGGCGTTTTTCTTTCATTTTTGGCGTTGTGGTTCGAGAGAATTATTCAAATTGTGAATTCTCATTGGAAAGACGGGGCCAGGGTTGAAAAGTCGCGAAGCTGTTTTTCAACCCTGGTCATTTTTATTTATTTTATATTTTGAAAAAAACACCCACGTTTTCCGTATGCATTAATCCTGAAGTAGTATCGTTGGCAGGGACTTTCGAAACCGCGGCGTTCTCCCAACTAGGAAGGCTTTCTTTTAGAACGTCTAGCATTTGACTTGTACTGTTTACCAGATGGTTACAGTTGGCATCGGTCGCTTCGCGACTGCAACCATCTGGCCTTCCGCCTACCCTTCCTGTCCTACACCACCACATCCTTCCCTACCTCTATCAATATCCACTCTAACGGCTTGAGATATCCCCCCCCCCACAATAGCCGAAACCCCCTTTAAAACTGCTTGGATACCAGGGGAGAGGTCCCCACTCGTTTTATTAAGGCGCCACTTTCAAAGTTGTATCTCGAAAATTACTGTAGGTGGCGGGCTATAACTCAGGATTGGAATTTCAGCCGGAACCCAAAAATAACACAGAATGCTAAAACACAGATAGCCAAAACGCAGGCACCGAATACATGCAGAAATCCTAGGCAATTGACTTTCTGTGTTTTGCATGTCTGCGTTTCAGACTTTTGCCCTCAAGATTGTGGTTATTTAGGGTCTGATATACCTCTGGTCCGATTTTGCGACTGATCGGATTTCATACAGCGTAATGCCGAAGGGTGCTTTTTGGGATACCCTGTAGTTACGTATGGTTTCATAAGTAAGATGCGTATTCTGGACAACGGATATCTGCGTTAACTTTAATACATTCCACTTTGTTCATTCTGGTGAAAACTGGGCGCTTGAGTATTCCGGGGGGAATGTAAAGTATGCCAACTCGCTCGAATTATGCGAAGTGCCAACTTTTGAAGATTCCCGCGCAAAAGCCAGAAGTAAAGAATATTAATAATGAATATATAAATATTCAACTAAATGTTGAAAAGCCTAAATTCGAACAAAATAGGAAAAATTTGACTGAAAATTAAATATTTCATTAGAATGTACAAAGTCGATGCTCAAAACCAGTTAAAAACTGTGTACAAACGTATCCGCTATTTATAGAAAAAAACCTACGTTGGCGCCAGGCCTGGGAATTTTTAGGCCCGGGGCCGGTCCGGGCCGAGATTTTGGCGGTAGGGCCGGGCCGCGTCGGGGCCCAAAATTTTCTGTTTAGGGCCGGCCCGGGCCGGCCCTTTCTCAGGCCTGGTTGGCGCTAAAAAAAATTTGCTTTGGGGGTTCTTTAGGATCCGCAGGCGGAATCTACTATAATAATTTCCTTCAGGCGTCTGTCTGTCCGTCATGTCCCGGATTCAACTCGAAGGGGAAAGGAGCTAGAGCTTAGCTCTCTTCGGATTCGGATAGAGCGTGGCCAGAAACCCCCAAACTGATAAAAAATAATGAAAAAGTTTTCGTTTAAATTAATAAATTTAAGTTTGAAAGTTTTCCTTAGTAAAAGGAGTGGGGGACATAGTGAGCCAGGTAGCGCGCGTTTCGGCGAAGGGGAAGGGAACGCACAGGGGTAGCCCGAAGTCCAGCCGCTTGCAGCGGCAAAGCCGCTGTAAGCGGCTGGTTATTTATAGTATACCAAATTTTTCTCGATCCAAGCCTAAATTTTTTTATAAATAGCGGATGCGTTTCTAAGTTGTTTTTAACTATTCCTAAACAACAAAACTATACAAATTTTCATTAGAAAAATTCAATTTTAGGGTCGACAAACTGATTTTTCGACCCAAAATAGCCAAATTTGCGAATTTTTCAAAGCTTTTTCTAACTTCTTTTTAAAGTTTTTCTACTTTAAATATAGCTAAAACTTAGTAAAAACAATGGAAAAACCATTTAGATTTGGTAGGGGCGTAGCCAGACAAAAACCCAAAAAAAATTTCCACAAAACTCGAAACATTAACGAGAAAACAGCGCCGCAGGCAAAAATGTTTGAAAAAGGTTACATAGCTCTACAAATAGCCGTCAAAACGTGAAATAAAATAGTGCCGCAGACAGCAAAATTTTTGAGAAAATAAAAATCATAAGGGTTCCCCCGTTATGAAATTTTCGGGCCCCGGCCGATTTCGGGGGGCCGGGGCGGTATTACGCTACGTCCCTGTATTTGGGACAAACCGGGACCGCCATGAAGAAAATTGGTCCCTCCCGCGAATCCTAAAGTACTCCCCTGGGAGAAAACTTTTCCCGTCCCCCTAGGTCCCCCCGCGAATACTCAAGGACCGGAAAATCTCCTGTTTTCTGAGGATCGAATGATGGGCAAAACAGCTTACATGTAGAGGTTGTCAGGTCACAAGCTCCAAACCGGCTGAAAATTGGTGGAAAAATCAAATAAAATACGGGGAACGCGATGCGATAAAAATTATCTGCTAATGGGCACTTTTGTTTAATAAACTTTTAATTTTAAGTAAAAAAAAGAAGGTAAAATGGACTTTCAGCGGATTAATCGGGCTGTCGGCCTCGGAATAAATGTTTCGATCGAATTGCCACGGAAAGTACGACACTAGGTACCTTCCCACACCCGGAAAAAAATTTATTTGAAAACATTTTTTCACGAAAATTTTGACGACCTATCGCATAGCTTTGGCCGCTAGGTGGGTTAGCAGCTGCTTAAAATAGTTAGTTCTGACCCGAGGTGTTTAAAATCAGAGCCCATAGATTCCAGATTCCGATAATGACTGCTTCTTTACAATACCTGTACAAAAAGTAATCTGTATTAACTATCCTGTCGATTTTTATGGAGTCGGAATAGGTAGGTAGGCCCTTTTTTGCAAAAACTTCCAAATTTTGTAATTTTTTTTTTGTCGAGACGTTCGCTACTGATTAATAGGACCGAAAAACATTATAAAAACTATTCTAAACGCGCTCCCTACAAAATAAAAGGAAAACGGCAAAAAGCAAAAAAAAAATAAAAAATGCGGGGAACCGAACCCATGACCTTTGGTCTACTATTCCCCGCACCCTACCCCTACACCACCGGGCCGACGGGCAGGGGCCCTTGGGGAGGCTTCAAGAGCTCGCGCCTTAGCGCCCCGGTTCTGGCCAGACTCGCTGCGATTCTAGATGGGTTTTCCATACAAAATCTTAAAATTAAAAGTTTATTAAACAAAAGTGCCCATTAGCAGATAATTTTTATCGCATCGTGTTCCCCGTATTTTATTCGATTTTTCCACCAATTTTCAGCCGGTTTGGAACTTGTGACCTGACAACCTCTACATGTTAGTAAAATTTATAGTGGGGTTGCACTTGCCCTGTATCGCGTCTCCTCCACCCAGTTGTTGAGGATTTTAAGATCGGCTTCACCTTCATCGAACAATTCCAGGTCTCCGTTATGAACCTTCCGCAGCCGTGTGGCGAATGATCGCTGGAATGTCGTGTTATGGCTAAGTAGAGTCCCCGGATTACTTACGAAAAAGAGATCGAGGTCTTCATCGTCATACTCGCGACACGACATCACCTGATGCAACACTCCAGGCTGGTGCATCCTGGCCGGGCAAAAAGCTACCTAAACATTGTCGAAATTGAAAATAGATATTGCAGTCAGGGCTGGTACCCAGATGACATTTACACGCGTGTAAACAGCCCAAAATTTACACGCGTGTAAAATATTTACACCTCGGATTTACACGCGTGTAAATAGTTTACACGCGCGTTTTTGGGATTTACACTCGTGATTTTGTACTTTTAGAGGGTTTTGGTGCCGAAAAATGCGTTTACACGCGTGTAAAAATATTTACACTCGTGTGTTTTGGATTCAAGCCCCCGTTTTTTGAAAAAACATCTATATGAAGGCAAAAATACATAAAATAAGATGTTGTCACTGGAAAATTTGCCGTTTCGTGGGCTTGCGAAGGATGTAAAAATTATTCCGATCCGATTCCGATTTTTTCGCATCCTACTGTTCGAGAAAAATCCCGTTGATTTGATGAAGAATATTTAGTTAACGTTTAGTCGATTGATTAAAAATCAAATTTGGGAGTGCAAAAATCATTGGCTCAAAATATGGACTCGCGTGTAAATTTTACCCCATAAGTTTACACCTGGGAGAGTAGTGTAAATCGGTCGGAAAACGACCTCCACAAGAACGATCATAGAAAAATTTCTAGGGTACCTAGCAAGCCACAATTCTTTTCATTAATAGTTGGGTCCTGTCGCTACCCCCTCTCGTTTTCATGTTCACAAAATGTTGGCTCTACAATTTTCTTGAGCCCTTCAAATTTTGAGTGTAAATTTAGGCCGCTCGCGTGTAAATTTTTTGCTTTTTTTTCGTCATTTCGGCAAAAACCCCGTTTTTTTACACGCGTGTAAACTTTTTTACACTCGTGTAAACTTTTTTACACGCGTGTTTTTGATTCCCTAATAAATTTGTTAAGGAAATTTGCTAAATTACACGCGTGCATATATTTTTACACGCGTGTGAATTTTTTTACACGCGTGTAAAATTTTTTACACGCGTGTATAAATTTCACGGGTGTAAATTTGATCTGGGTACCAGCCCAGATCTTTCAGCCGTCGCTCAGATTGGGGGTAACCCATGTTTAAAGGGGTGGGCAAGCGGCTATTATGTGTTTTATTGCCTATGAATGCCCCATAGACTTAACCACAGACTTGACGGCTTTGGGCGTAGTTCAGCTCGTTACGCAAAAGAATGGCAAACAAGAGCCTCATGTGGCAAATAATTCAAAGGGAATCCAAAGCACCCAAAATCTACAGTCATGCCTTGCCTGTCAAGAGTGGTGGAGGTCATATAAATGTTCGGAAGCATAAATTCTCCTAAAAATCTTACGTCGGCAAACTGGCTGGTTTCTGGCGGGCCATTGATGGGTACTTCGAACATGATGCTGACGGGTTTTCCGGGTTGTCGTCCATCGCCATAAGGTCCACTCCACATCTCTTCACAAACCTCACAATTCCAAGGAATCTCCGTGCCGTAGCGCTGCAAAGATGGGCAACCTCTGGACAACGGCTCAATCGCCTTCTGGTCTAATATGCTCGAAAAGGGGCATTTTTCTCTACTTGAAATTTTTGAAAAATAGGTGATTGGATCTTTGAGCGCACGAACAAAATAGGGCAAAAACCGAAGTGTGAAAACGATACATTCTTTACTTTACAAGTTGGCCTGTATAATATGTCATTAGGCGCGTAATGGCCTTGGAACGACTGCACACTTATCAGATTTCGGAAAAAGTGCTCTGTTTTTACTTTACAACCAGCGCCCAAAACCCGCTTCGCGGGCCTTGGGCGCTGGAATCAGGCCCTTGCATGAGAAATTTGACTTTCCGATAGCTCGGGTCCTTCGGACCAGGGTTGTTCAGGGACGGACGGGACGGACGGGGACGGGGACGCGTCCCCGTCACCTAATTTGCATCCCGAAATGGGGACAGACGGGGACGGGACGGGGACGGTGGGGACGGACGGTGACGGGGCAGCGTCCCCGTCCCCGATGCAAATTACGGGGATAAAGTAATGGCATTCAAATCACGCATCGGCTGGGTTTAGAATTTCGCAGAGCAAAGTACAAAACGTGGATAGCATGATTACGATGAAGTGCTTATAACCTAGCACGTAGAGTCGTAACCAATTGCTTTCTAACTTGAATATCTCGAATTTTTAAGCTCTGTAGCAAATTCCGAAAAATGGTGAATATCTGCAGCGCCGACGCCAACTAGGAATAACTTCCAGCTTGGCCTGAGTTGCATATTTTTGACTCCTCGAAGGAAACGAGAAGGAGACCCGAAATAATTACTGGTAGGAAAACCATTTGCATTTCGGCATTTGCATCGGGGACGGGGTGACGCTGACCGTCACCCCGTCCCCCGTCTGTCCGTCCGTCCCTTCCCGGACGCGTCCCCGTCCGTCCCCTAATTTTATGCAGATTAGGGTGACGGTCCCGCGTCCCCGTCCGGACCCGGACGGACGGGGACGGGACGCAAAATGACCAACCCTGCTTCGGACCTTCCCCTCCCCCAACCCGTGCAACTTGCAAGAATGAAGAAATTTGTATTTTTTCACTATGCAAATTAGCCCTCCCGGAGCCCCAAAAATGAATAAAACCGGCTTTAACTTTGTAAACTTGTATTTTATCGGAATTCTGAAAACGCCATCGGAAACAGAAGGGACCCACGAACCAGCCCCCCCCCCACCCCCGCTCCGATACTCACCGTTCGGCATTGCGAGCAGCGCAGATCGTTGACTGTCACCTTAAATGCATTTATGTTTCGGTACGCTTGTAAGGCAGGTGGAATTCTTGCCCATGTCAGGTCGATATAAATGGCTGCCATTTTCGGGTAACAGCCTTTTTAAGGCAAGAAATATCAAGTCAAATAAAGCCGAGAAGTAAGCTAGCAGAGAATATGTGAGGATTGCTTAGGCAACCTCACCGAAATTCTCTGACGCTTTTTTGTTAAGTTTTTTGCCTGCAGCGCTGCCATTTTGCTTATATGTGGGACCATTTTTGTCCGCGGCGCTTTAGTAGCGCAAAAAAATTCGCGCTACCCCTCCCGCCCCGAAACTTGGGGGCAGCTTCGTCCCCAACCCCCGTCATCGCTTGGCACAGTTTTTTCGGCGAAATCTACATGAAAAATGATGCTGCTCCCTGATTTTGTACCGCCCCGGATAGAGCGGATATCTGGCCGAAGCGCACGTCAAAAACCATGAGCTGCCACTTACGCCGAAAAATTTGATCGTAGAGAAGCGATGCCGACAATTTTTGATTAATTTTCGAAGGAGATGGTAGTTTGCCACTTCGACGACAATTTCCTGGACAGCGGCCACCGATCGGAAAAGCCGGCTGATCTAAATGCAAAAAAATGGAAATTTTACGGATACGCTTGGCTAATCGTAGTGTTCATCTAAGAAAACTCGTATTCCGTAATCGTGGCGGACTAGGGTTCAAACGAAACAATCTTTATGCATTCTCGATGTATAGGTTTGGCAGCACTCCTAACATAACTTAGCTACTGTTCAATGTCTAGACGTCAACGTTCATGTTGAAACAATAGCGGCGACTTGAGCTGCATGTCGCGGCAAAACTCAAAGACAAAAATCGGTACTGGACGATTAGCGGGCGGATGAGGATTTTCCGGGGGGAACCAAATTTTCTAACGGCGGACCGCAGTCGTGACGGATATCGACGGGAATAGGGGTAAAAAAACAAAAATTAGTTACCCGGTTTAAGATTCCCCCACCCCGCTAACCGTCCAGTACCCAAAAATCTATATCTATGCCTTGCCGCGGTCTCTACCAAACTCGTAATTTAATAACGCGGTTCTGTTCTATTTCGCAGGGGGGGGGGGATATGATTCGCGGAACCTTACATCTTTTCACTATTTTCTCGGGATTTTTGCAACGCCATTCGATAGAGCATCAAAAAATATACTAAGAGTTTTTGTTTTAGCTACAAATATTGTAATATAAAAAAGTTATAGCAAAAACAGAAAAAACTATTGAAACTGGTTCCGGAAAGTTATTTTTCGGCATTTTCGCCATTTTTTCGATATTTTGAACTCGTCATTCGGTAGAGCATCAAAAATATACTAAGAGTTTCAATTTCATCTTTTCATCTTAAAATATTGTTTTATAAACTAGTTATAGCAAAAACAAGGTTTATTCGGTGTTTCCACATGGGATCGTGGAGTCGAAAGCTAGTTTTCGGCATTTTCAAAAACTTCTTTAATGCCATCCGATAAAGCGTCAAAAAATATGCTAAGAGTTTTAATTACAATTCAAAATAGCATCATATAAAAGAGTTATAACAAAACGAAGAAAATCCCCCCGCACAGTTTTTTCCCCACGCGAAATAGAACAGTACCAACAACGCTTTTTGGCAGTCAAAAACTGCTATCTTCAGCCGAATTGACTGAACTTCCAGCCGTCCCACTCGGAGACTACGCCCGTCAGACAGATTGCCTCGTTCAACTTCGATTCCCCCCTCCCAGCGAAGTTCATGGCTTTTTCACTCATTTCATATGGCTAGGAAGGTACTTATCCTTGTCAGGTATGAAATTTGACCTACATCATAGACGCCGTTTCCTCGTCGATATCCATCTCTGCCCGAATGCCAGCGGAGCTAGAAGTGTACATTTTCATAGTTTGCCTGGTACACATAGGGTAACGGGGCGGGGGGGGTAATACCCATCATTTCTAATATTTTAGTAACTGTGGGATGTCTTAAGTACCATGGATCAAGCGCTGAAAAACATGCCAAGAGAACTCATTTCCGCTCGAAAAAATGAAAGGCAATCTTTTATTAAAAAAAATGTTGACTATTTGGTTGAGCATATAGGATAACACGGGGCGAGGAAAATTTCAGAAATTTTCTGGCTGTTGAAAATTCTAATCGATAGAACGTGAAAAATATACTAATAAGTGAAATAGTTTTGCCCTCGTCGTAAATTGGTATGTAACATACATCAATCGATAGAGAATTGAAAATAAATGTGCTGCTGAAATATGCGTTTTTGCGGCTCCTCTCTCTAAAAAGTTACTTGGGTCTTAAAGTCTTAGTCTTAAAGTCTTAAAGGCCGAAAATATACTACGAGCTTTTCTATGTCTTTGAGTGTCTTTATGTCATGTTGAATGCTAAAAAACATGCTTAAACTAAAACAATTTGTATTATCGAAGAACTTATTTCCCCCGTTATTTTACCTCCTCCCCCCTTTGTCCTATGTGTACCTTTACCCTATTCAATCGGCCTCGATAAACTACAGAAATTTAATCAAATCCGATTGGCCGAAGAGTGGAATCAAAATGGTTGGAATATACGACCTACCACACTGTAATCAAAATCTTCGACGACGTCAAACCATAGGTTTTCAGCACAAAAATACGACTCGGGTAGATGTTCAAGGAACCAAGCGTACGGCACTTGCGATGTACTAAAACACTATTAAATCAACGGCGTCGGAGGAGTGACCAGCGGTCGGATTCTTAGGGGTCAAACCGAACCTAACAAGTTTAGGGCCCTAAAACCCCAAAAATTAAAAATCTCACCAGGGTTGAAAAACCGCTTTGCATAATTTCCCCCGATTCGGATGACGAAAAATGAAAAATGCTCTCGCCGTCCCTTTATATAGGCTACCGCGACTTCCGGTGCATGCTAATTTGATCCTAACAAATTGGGGTGTCCGATTTTCCATGAAAAACTTGATTTTAATGTCGAAAACATCATATTTTGTAAAATCTAATATGTGTGCAGTCATCTCCAGCCCACTACTCATCTAATGACGTATCATACATACCCCTAACTACCCCCCTTATTGAGATACTACTGGAACACGGTGACGGAAGTTGCATGCAAAGTGGCACACACACACACACACACACTATTTTTTTATATATAGTAGGATAAAAACCATAATATTCACTGGATTATGCCAAAACGGCGGCATGTGGTTCCTGACGGTGGTTCCTTATATCAAATTTTCGGAGGGAAAAGTGCAAGTCCAGGTGTTCAAATCTACGTATAAATGTTTAGGGGTGACCCCTAAAGTAGCCTCGATCACTTTTTAATTAGGGGTGTGGAAATAGAGCAACTTTCTGTGGGTCTTCCTTTTTCCAAACTTCGCTTTTGAAGCTTTTAGGTGACACCGTGTGTGTGTGTGTGTGTGTGTGTGTGTGTGTGTGTGTGTGTGTGTGTGTGTGTGTGTGTGTGTGTGTGTGTGTGTGTGTGTGTGTGTGTGTGTGTGTGTGTGTGTGTGTGTGTGTGTGTGTGTGTGTGTGTGTGTGTGTGTGTGTGTGTGTGTGTGTGTGTGTGTGTGTGTGTGTGTGTGTGTGTGTGTGTGTGTGTGTGTGTGTGTGTGTGTGTGTGTGTGTGTGTGTGTGTGTGTGTGTGTGTGTGTGTGTGTGTGTGTGTGTGTGTGTGTGTGTGTGTGTGTGTGTGTGTGTGTGTGTGTGTGTGTGTGTGTGTGTGTGTGTGTGTGTGTGTGTGTGTGTGTGTGTGTGTGTGTGTGTGTGTGTGTGTGTGTGTGTGTGTGTGTGTGTGTGTGTGTGTGTGTGTGTGTGTGTGTGTGTGTGTGTGTGTGTGTGTGTGTGTGTGTGTGTGTGTGTGTGTGTGTGTGTGTGTGTGTGTGTGTGTGTGTGTGTGTGTGTGTGTGTGTGTGTGTGTGTGTGTGTGTGTGTGTGTGTGTGTGTGTGTGTGTGTGTGTGTGTGTGTGTGTGTGTGTGTGTGTGTGTGTGTGTGTGTGTGTGTGTGTGTGTGTGTGTGTGTGTGTGTGTGTGTGTGTGTGTGTGTGTGTGTGTGTGTGTGTGTGTGTGTGTGTGTGTGTGTGTGTGTGTGTGTGTGTGTGTGTGTGTGTGTGTGTGTGTGTGTGTGTGTGTGTGTGTGTGTGTGTGTGTGTGTGTGTGTGTGTGTGTGTGTGTGTGTGTGTGTGTGTGTGTGTGTGTGTGTGTGTGTGTGTGTGTGTGTGTGTGTGTGTGTGTGTGTGTGTGTGTGTGTGTGTGTGTGTGTGTGTGTGTGTGTGTGTGTGTGTGTGTGTGTGTGTGAGTGTGTGTGTGTGTGTGTGTGTGTGTGTGTGTGTGTGTCAAAATGATTGGGCCATCTCTTCTTCTGCGATTGGCTCGGCCCAGGCCTGGACAAAACGCGGGCCGGCCCGGGCCGAGAAAAATCGGGATTTTCCGGGCCGGGTCGGGCCGGGCCGAGAATTCAAAACAGCCGGGCCGGCCCGGCCGGCCCGACATTTTTGACTAAGTAAAAAAATAGGTTTTTCGACGGAAATTGTGTGCTATTTTGCATATTTCTCGCTCGCAAATAGCCTATTGGGCATTGTTATATAACCTCAGTCAAAATTTGGAAATTTTTTTGGTTTAACCCGCTACCAGGAAATCGACCCGGGTTCGATCCCGCCCGGTGCCGTCTTTTTGCTTTTTGGATTTTCTATTCATTCGGACCGGGTTTTTTCATAGAAATATAATGGTACATCGTAGTAACGTATGAAACATTAAATTATACACTAAAATAGTTAATTAGACCCCCCAAATGGTTGAATTTAACTTTATTATCCTAAACTCCATCGATATTTATTCCTTAAAAATCGTTGTTAATTTAAACTTTGAATTTTCTATGCGGAAAAGCTGTAAAAAGGACACACTAACGCTGTATTAACAGCTAAGTACCTTCAAAAGGTGTTAAACCACTTTGTTGGCAGATTTTTGACCAACCCCGGTTTTGACCTCTAAAAGTCGGGCCGGCCCGGGCCGAGAAAAATCGCGTCGGGCCGGGCCGGGCCGGGCCGAGAAAAATGGGGTTGTCGGGCCGGCCCGCGTCCAGGCCTGGCTCGGCCCTCCTCGGTTTTGGAGCCAGGCCAACTAGTTGCCGCATTTTTGTGCCTTTTCAAACGCTACAATACCTACTTTGCGTGGCTCTAAAACCTACGAGGGCCGAGCTACTCGCAAAAGAAGAGGCGGCCCTATCTTTTTTGAACCACACTGTACTATACGTAATGTCCCACCTACCATGCAAACTAGCGAAAGATCTTGTTTGAACTGCTTGTTGTTGGTCCCGATTAAATTGAGTTTTTGCACAAAATTGCGTCATTTATGCCCAAAAATATGAAAATCGGTTAAAAATTAGGGAATTTTAAAAATCGAATAGAACATATATCCTCAAATCGTCGAGAGCTTTCGATATATACCTAAATCGTTAAAAGCGGACACCGTTGCGGACTGACACACACAGACACTATTTTTTACAATAATACAAAACTTTTACAATAATACGCGGCGTCGAGTGCGCATAAATAAAAAATAGTAGGATAATCTTATAATGTCAAAATTTCCTTATAGGAATGCTTTTGCATCGTATTCCGCTTTTCCGAGAAATTTACTATGCAAATTTCGAAATTCTAAAAATTTCGGCATTATGAATTCCGACATTTTGAAACTTCTGTACCTGACGGTCCTAATTTGTTGTTCTTGCAGGTGTACATGATTACTACAGTGCGCTCTGATAAACCATTCTTCCGAATCGCCGATCCCGATATAGACGTCGTTGACGAGAAGCTGCAAAAGATATTTTAGACCATTCAAAAGCTGAGATCCACAAGTTCCTTGAACCATCCGAACTTCTTAATTTTGAGAATCTTATAACCTACTTTGCTAAAATTATTGGTTTTTGGGATGGCAGGTTAGCCATTTTGCCCAAACTCCGAATAATAACATATGTCCCAATCCCGGTTTTCAGTAAAACCTCTTTCCTTAAAAACGCATTGTCCGGGCATTTTTGGGACACCCTGTACAATGAAATTCTTAAACTACAACCCAATTAAGAAGGTACTTGAAGAATTGCGGCGCTGTACTTTCCAAGGCACACCAAGCATTCCGACCCGACTCTCCTACGTGTAAGGTGAGGCCTTGGCGCTGCGTGTTGTGACACCGACGTGTTCCTAACTTATTTTTTCTGTCCCTCTTCGCAACGGTTGCGCGACAATGGTTTTTCTAGGCATTTGGGCAGCTGCGCGGCTGCGATGGCACTATTAGATCGGTTGGTCTTAGGAAAACGATTTCTAGGAAATCATTATTTCTGATTAGGACCCCCTGTAAAATCAAGTAGGACGTTTCGGAATGTAAATAACCACGACCTCATTCCCGCCATCTTCCTCATCAACTCGTCGAGCGCCTCCCTGAACGGCGATCGTTTGCACTCTTCGTGGCATAAGGCATCGAGCATTGACGGCTGCTCTGAAATAATTTTTTCACAAAGTCAAAACAATTAAACGCTTTTTGAAATAACGATCATTTCAGATTTTCAAAGGAAAAATGTTAAACTCCTATCGGATTTTCACTATTTTTATGTCTAAAAATGACCCAGGAAATCAGAATAACATCATAGACGGGGCCAGCGTTGAAAAGTCGCGAAGCGGCTTTTCAACCCTGGTTATTACTAAACTTTAGAATGGTTACGAAAAACGCGTTTGTCATCTAGATATTCCGCGCCCATGATATTCTCGGTATTGCATAATTTTCGCGGACTCGGATGACGAAAAATGAAAAATGCTCTCGCCGTCCCTTTATATAGGCTACCGCGACTTCCGGTGCATGCTAATTTGATCCTAACAAAGAGGGGTATCCGATCCTACTATCCTACTATATATAAAAAAATAGTGTTTGTGTGTGTGTGTGTGTGTGTGTGTGTGCCACTTTGCATCCACTTCCGGATGTCTGTCCGGAGGATATCTCAAGAAGGGACGGGTATTAGGCTACGTATGATACGTCATTAGGTGCGTAATGGTCTAGGGATGACTGCACACATATCAGATTTTAAAAAATTAGCCATTTTCGCTATTAAATTTAGGTTTTTGTAAAAACCTCTTTGTTAGGAGTAATTAGCATAAACCGGAAGTGGGCTGTCGCCTATATAAAGAGGCAGAAAGGGTTGTTTTTCATTTTTTTTGTCTTCTGAATGGAGGACAATTAAGCAATGGGCAGAATAGTATGGGGTCCGAGACGGGGCAGGGTTGAAAAGTCGCGAAGCGGCTTTTCAACCCTGGTATATAAAAAAATAGTGTTTGTGTGTGTGTGTGTGTGTGTGTGTGTGTGTGTGTGTGTGTGTGTGTGTGTGTGTGTGTGTGTGTGTGTGTGTGTGTGTGTGTGTGTGTGTGTGTGTGTGTGTGTGTGTGTGTGTGTGTGTGTGTGTGTGTGTGTGTGTGTGTGTGTGTGTGTGTGTGTGTGTGTGTGTGTGTGTGTGCCACTTTGCATCCACTTCCGTCTGTCTGTCCGGAGGATATCTCGATAGGGGGTGAGTTTTAAGGTACGTATGATACGTCATTAGGTGCGCAATGGTCTTGAGATGACTGCACACATATCAGATTTTACAAAATTAGCTGTTTTCGACATTAAATTTAAGTTTTTGTGAAAAGTTCTTGTTAGGAATAATTAGCATAGACCGGAAGTGGGGGAGTCGACTATATAAAGAGGCCGAAGAGGTCGTTTTTCATTTTTTTGTCATCCCAATTTAGGACAATTATGCAAAGTGAAGGATAAAAAGAGGGTCAGACGGGGCCAGGGTTGAAAAGTCGCGAAGCGGCTTTTCAACCCTGGTAGGCGATTAAATTTAAGGTACGTATGATACGTCATTAGGTGCGTAATGGCTCTGGGAGGACTGCACGATTATCAGATTTAACAAAATCAGCTGTTTTCAACTTTAATTTTCAGTTTTTCTAAAAAGTTCGGGCGCCCTCTTTGTTAGGAAACAATTAGCATCCGCCGGAAGTTGAAGTAGCTTATATAAAGGGGTGGAGGGAGTGTTTTTCATTTTTTTGTCTTCGCAATTCGAGCACAATTATGCAAAGTGAATAACATCTTGAGATGAGACGGGCCCAGGGTTGAAAAGTCGCGAAGCGGCTTTTCAACCCTGGTTTTCCATGAAAAACTTAATTTTAACCAGGGTTGAAAAGCCGCTTCGCGACTTTTCAACCCTGGCCCCGTCCAACCCTATGATATCCTTCGCTTTGCATAATCCTTCCGCACTTCTATGTCCAAAAAATGAAAATCGTTCCCTCTCCCCGATTATATAGGCTACTCCCACTTCCGGCCTATGCTAATCTTTTCCTAACGAAGAGGCCGGCCGATTTTTAAGGAAAAAAACTTAATTTTAATGTCGAAAATTATAGATTTTGAAAACTCTGATACGCGTGCAGTCATCTATTGACCATTACGCGTCTAATGACGTATCATACGCCCTCTTCATCCCTTCCCTTCTTGAGATATCCTCCGGACGCGCTGACGGAAGTTGCATGCAAAGTGGCACACACACACACACACACACACACACACACACATACAGACACTATTTTTTTATATATAGTAGGATGTCGAGCAATTTGGAAATCGCCATTGTCAGCTTATCCCACTTGCAACCACTTCCGGATGTGTGTTCCGCTCGTAACGGGCCAAGGAGCTTTCATGTATGCTTGATGTAACGAGGAGCGTTATGGGCTCGAGGTGACGGCGTACGTTCAGGGAATTAGCGTAATGCAGTCACCGCCCCAGGCCCCCAAAATCTTGTTCTGGCTACGCCCCTTCTACTTTTCTCATTTTTCAAATTATGCTGTTCCTAACATTCATTTTAACTTGAACATTTCCGCGGCCAACTTTGATAGAAAAAATAACGATGATTTCTTCAAAATTTGTGCAAACGAGGTAGCTAACACTAGGCATCAATTTTACGTTATTATGGTTTTATTAGGACGAAAATTAAACCAAAAAGGAACATATGTTCCTTAGATAGAACCGGGATTTCAACTAGGCGCGCGCAAGTAATTGCAAAAAAGTAGGACAAATTTGGGAGTTCGATGCCGCCATCCAACCCGCCGTCAACCCGTCTTCGACCCATAGGAATCCCGGAGTTCGCGCGTTGTGTCCAGGGGCTCCCGTCTTCGACCCGTTCACAACCCGTCCTCAACCCGCCCATAACCCGTTCCCTCCCAACCCGCGGTCGGACCCATGGTCTAACCCCTTCTTGGGTTCCAACCCGCGGTCGAACCCGTTCTCAGCTTCCGACCGCTGGTTTAGCTTTCCTGAGGACCTATATAGGAAGGCCGACAGGTGATTTACCATTTTTGGCCGGGATTTGAAATAAAGCAAAGCTAACACAGAGCAAGAACCTGGGCAAGGGGCGTTGTGAAAAGCCGCGAAGCGGCGTAAAGGATCGATTTTTCACGAACTATTTCTCAAAGTCAGGGCCGGAATGTGCCAATTATCAAAGCCTTGAATACTACCTGAACTGCCTAGTGACCCGCTGCAAGACGACCATCTCCTGTATGGCCAGTTGGTCGAGGATGGCCGAGATGAGGGCTTTGGGTAGTCGCGAGGTGGGAAACATTCGATCAAAGAGAAGTCGAACCGAATATGAACCACATGGTTGTGAGCTGCCAGAGCTCATGGGACGATTTTTCGAATCCGCGGCGGGGAATGGGGAAAATTAATTTGACTGCAGGTCACATCGAAGCTGGTGGGAGGCCACCCATTAACGGCGCGGAGGTTGTTTGTTAGGAGTTATTTAATCATTCTTAAAGGCTTTTGACCCGGCTCCCCAGGAAACCATCTGCTCGCTCCGCCGACGTGCGCCAGGGGGTTAATGATAACGATATGTCGCCATTAATACAGGGTGTGCAAAAAAAAAAGACCACAGTTTGGGTCGAAATATCTCGCGAACGGTAGAGAATCGAAGGTACGTTACCATGCCAGAATGCTTAAATATGCTGGGCATGAAGATTTAACACAACTTGATTTTTTCGATTTTCGGCGACGTATCAATACAAATGACACCCGAAAACTGTGCGTTCGGGGAAACTTCATTTCAATTTTTCTCAGTTTCCTGTGGTGGCTGGCATCTAATTTTGATTAAGTAAGTTAATATCGGCAGCAGATATGTACCTACGAAATTTAAGAATTTTTGAGGGTCTGCTTGAAAAGTTAGAGAGGAATGAAATTTTGTATGGAGAAATTTCGTAAATTTTTAATATTGATAAAACCTATGGCGAAAACCTCAAAATCAGTTGTTGTGGAATACCTACAGGTTTGACACAATCGCATAAACATATTAAAGAATTTTTTGAGATCGATGAATTTTTGAGTTTTTCAACGACCCCCTGGTCATGGATATTTTCGAGGTCACGAAACCGAACTTTAGAAAAATATTTTTAAATTGCCAAAGGGGACTCAGCTGTTTTCTTTGCTTAGCTATGTAGTACTGGGGTTTATCTATCATTTACAAAATTTCGATCTACCGTACCTCTTTGGAAGGGCGTCTTTTAGGGCTTCCAAAACGGTTCGTTCGTGCTTTTTTCCGAATCTTGTCACCATTTTATAAAATTTAGTCGCGCTGTGAAAATTTTTGTTTTATTTTTATCTGATATAATTTGAATAGCGCATCCTAAAGCCTTATTCATGAATTTTTTTTAACCAGCCGTTGGCGCCAAGAATATTCATCAAAACCCGAAATAAACCGAATCGGAGGTTGCGTAAAAAATTTTTGGAAGGTAGAGTCGTAGGGATATTTTGTGCAATAAGTCTGTGCCATCAGTTAAATAAAACTATGCAAAGATTAAAGTAATTTCACGTCGTAAAAATTTTCAGAAGATTTCTAAACTTCGATTTTGGAATAGGGTGATCTTCGATTTTGAGCTGAAAGTAACCATAATTTTGAATCAGATTGCTCCGGAATTTGACAGGCGTAAATAATAACATCAAAGCTATAATCGTATCCATAAAACCCAGCTCGTTTTTTTATTTTTAAAAATTCGAAAATTGACCCGGCTACTCGGACCAAAAATCGGCTCTCTGGCCTTGTTTTGCACTTCGCCTCGTAACTTTGTTATTTACCACCCAAAATCGGTAATTTTTAACAGGTTATCTTACAATCACCTCTAGAAGGCCCTCGAATAGAAAAATCGACACTTTATGGAATTTTGTGATGGCATGCTAAAACGCGCTCCACGTGGGTTACTGTAGAAAACCGAAATTTGCGATTTTCGTGGTGTTTTTGCCATGAAATCGCTTCAATGTTTTCGTAAAACTAATAGTAGCGGTTTTTGGACCAGTTGACCAAAAAATTTACAAAATTCTGCCGCAGGATTAAAAAATCAGTTTTTAGTCTTTTTCATGAAAGTTTGTGGATAGTACGCTCTCGTATTTGGCAGTAAGGTGCCACTACTTATTGCCTAACAACCCAGAAAATTTCAGCCGGATCGAAACTAGGTGTACCTACAGTACCCCCGCTGGGGCACGTTTTAGCAAGCAATACAAAAATACCATAGATTGTGGTGGAATTTGGTGTGGGATCCGAGCTTAATATTTGGATAAGTCATTGACAAAATATCAGCCATAGGCAGCGAGTTATAAGCGAGTTATGACTCAAAGAACAAAAATAACGCGAAATCGCGTAAATTGTTTTACTTTTAAAAAATGAAATTGACCTCGATAAATTCTAAGATTTTGCCATTACATTTTTACAAATTTATACTATTTTTAGGCCAAAAATCAGAATTTTCCCACCTCCCGTTCATGAACGCACAATTTTCGGTCGTAACCAGCGTCAATAGTACAGTTGCGTACTCAAAAATCGAAAAAATCAAGTTGAGTTAAATGTTCATGCCCAGCATATTTAAGCATGGTAACGTACCTTCGATTCTCTACCGTTCGCGAGATATTTCGACCCAAACTGTGGTCTTTTTTTTTGCACACCCTGTAGAAAAATTCCTATTTTTGAGGCCTTTAGTAATACTTTTATAGTTGTAAAAAGTATGTTTAAAAACGATTGGCCACCAAAGCCGCATTGCGTAGTAAAACACATGAGCCGCCGTGTGCTCTAGTAGTAAATTTCGTGAAGATCAAAAACACTCGCCGAGAATGTGTTACGCTATTTCATACGCTCGCTAGAGGATCCAAGTAGTCGCAGCGGCAACAGCAAAACTTTATTCTGGAACACATGTAAAAAAGATAATATCACTAGAAAGCAATTTATAAACCTGGCACAGATTACAAAATCACAACATAGTAATCAAACGGGAGGAATCGCAGGCACGAAAATTGGGGGGGGGAATAAAAACGATAGGGGGAGATTTAGTGGAATTTCTTGACGGCTTCGACGATGTGGCGGGCCGAGATGCCGAACATGTCGACGAGGTCATCTGGCGGTCCGGAGCGGGGCACGCCAGAGACGTGCAACGAGCGCACGCGGATGCCGGCATCAGAAACGGCGGCAGAGACCTAAAGAAAAGAAATAAGTCTGGAAAAGGAAAACTCACAGTTTCCCCGATGCCGCCCGCCGCGAAGTGGTCCTCAACGGTGACGACCTTGCCTCCAGTGCGCTTGGCCTAGAACAATAATATATGAAACAGAAAGACAAAACTCACGTGCTTGACAATAGTTTCCCCGTCGATCGGCTTGATGGTGAACGGGTCGATGACGCAGGCGTGCACGCCAGACTTCTCCAGCTCGTCGGCAGCCTAGGAAACATTGATGAAATCCAAGAAAAATTACCTTCAAGCACTCGTACAGCGTTACTCCAGCGCCGACGAGCACGATCGAATCCTTCACGTTCTCGCGCAGCACTTTGGCCTTGCCAGCCTAAAAACTAATTCGAGAACCAAGTAGTAACAAACCTCAAACTTTTCATCGTTGGCATAGAGTACGGGGAGCGCCGGGCGTCCAGTGCGGATGAAGACAATGCCTAAAAATGAATAAACGAAAAATATGAAATTTTACCTTGAATGTTGGCGGCCATCTCGGTGGCACGCTCGGCGCTGACGGCGTCGGTTGGGTAGAAGACGGTCGAGTCGGGAATGGCGCGGAACAGGGCCAGGTCCTAAAAACAATTCTCGTCGAGTGACCAAGAACTACCTCCAGGGCCATTTGTGAGGGTCCATCCTCTCCGATCGACACGCCGACGTGCGAGCCGGTGCACTTCAGGTTGGCGAACGACACGGCGGCCATGCGCAGCTGGTCGGCGGCACGGGTGAAGAAGGCGGCGAACGTGGAGGAGAACGGGATGGTGCGGCCCCGGCACTGGGCTCCGACGGCGACACCGACGAGGTTCTGAAAAAGAAAGTTATCAAAGTCACAGAAAATACAAGATTCCAAGTACAAATTATAAGCCTTACCTGCTCGGCAATGAAGCACTCGATGAACTGGTCGGGCTTGTCCTTCAGCAGCTTCTCCGAGAAAGTTGAGTTCTTCGTGTCACCGTCGAGGCCGATGACGCGCGGGTTGGCCTTACCGAGCTTCGCCAGAGCCGTCCCGTATGCCGCGCGGGTGGCCACCTTGTCGCCCTTGGTGTACGCCGGCGGGTCGCTCATCTTGATGGAGCCGATGTGGAGGTCAACCTATAAAAAAAGATAGTTGGAAAACCTAAAATTTTACCTTCGGGGCGTCCTCGATCGGCTTCTTCGGCGCCAGCTTGCCCTTCTGCGATCCGTGGTAGCGCGCCTTGATGGCTTCAATTTTCTCGATCGGCACCGGCTTTCCATGCCAGTTGTCCTGATCGGCGACCCCATCGATGCCCTGGCCCTTGTGCGTCTTGGCGATGATGGCCGTGGGCTTATCCTTGGTGTTGCGCGCCGTCTCGAGGGCCGCGGCGATCTGTTCGATGTTGTGCCCGTCGACGATGATCGCCTCGAAGCCGAAGGCGGCGAAACTAAAACGGAAAAATCAATTTTTTTTTATTCAAAATTGTTCATAAAAATGCCGAGAACTTAAACTGACCGATCCCGGTAAATTTCGACGTGGTGGCCGAGCTGGGTGGCCTGCGACTGCCCGAGACGGTTGACGTCCACGATGGCGACCAGGTTGTCGAGCTTGTAGTGAGAGGCGAAAGCTAAACACGAAAATGTAAGCTTTCGAAGGCCGGGCTTACAAGCAGCTTCCCAGACGGCGCCCTCGGCTGATTCACCGTCTCCCATCAGGCAGAAGATGCTAAAAAACGAATAATTTTAGAACATAGAGCAAGTGGATACCGGTACGAGGCCTTGTCGATGTATTTCCCGGTGTAGGCCATTCCAGCGGCGCAGGAGAGGCCCTGACCGAGCGAACCCGTGGCGACGTCGATGAAGTTGAGGCGCTGAAATACAAAAGTACATAAAAGTAACAACTGAATTACCGGAGTTGGGTGTCCCTCGATGTCCGAGTTGATCTTGCGCAGCGTCAGCACATCGTCGTGCGACAGGAGGCCAGCCTCCTCCCAGGCAGCGTACAAGATGGGGCAGGCGTGACCCTAAACGAAAAAAAACTTGAGAAGAAAAGGAACTCAAACCTTGGAGAGGATGAAGCGGTCGGCGTGCTCGCTCCTCGGGTTCTTGACATCGTAGCGCATCTCGTGGAAGAACAGCGTCGCCATCAGCTCCGCCGCCGAGGTCGACGAGGAGGGGTGGCCCGACTGAACAA